ATATCATCTAGAGATGCCAAAACCGTAAAAAAATTCTAGACCTGATATACACTTTAATATAAAGGCTATAAAGTATAGTAAGCTTATATTGGGATCTTACCATTTACARTGACTTCAACTTCACTAGGGATGTCTTCGCTGCTTAATAATTTTAGAGTGCATCTATAATGTCCACTGTCTTTTCGGGTGGTATTTATTATTACCAACGTAGCTACTGACTCTTTACTCACTCGCGGTCGTAATGTGTTTGGACATTCACTGCTGATTTTCCATTTCCATCCATCAAGACCATCCTCACTCGCAATTTCTTGCCAAATTCCACTTGAGCTTTTATATTCCCATACTGGTGAGTTGTCCTTGAAATCGTCTTTATTATCAACCGTATAGTTCCATTCAAGTTTTATGGGTTTTGGAGAAGTTACAACCACAGTTTTGTTTGGGGATCGCGTGAAATTTGTAGCGCCTACAGGATACAAGCTCGCAAGTAAGATTTTGACCAAACTAATAATAAAAACTTATTCTAAGACAAGAAGATGTGTTCTTACCATAAGATGAAAGAAAATGCGATGAAAAGGCAAAGTATAAAAGCATAAAAGCCAAAAATCCTGAGGGAATCATACTTTCGCCCATTACGCGGTCAAGGTATATCGCCCTTTGGGCCGTGATCCAATAGGTGGATATTCTGGGATACCCTTAAGAACCTTATTATGTCATACAGGAGAGCATTGAGATATTAGTACCTCCGATTATTGTGGAACGGAAAGATTCATTCTGCTTCAAACCCGAGAAGGCAGTTGGAGATGTTAAACGTTATGTTGAAGCTTTTGTCGGCCTGTTTTTATCTTATTTTCTTCGGTCCATTAGTAGCAGGTAAGAATTCGTTAATCATATAAAAAAGAAGAAGAAGAAGAAAAAAGAATAAAATAAAGAAAATAAACTAGTAAGCTTAAATTAATCTTACTCATAGTCCACGGGAAAATTTACTCTCATTTATTTTGTGTGTTTGTCATGTCTCATTAGTTTTTAGTGATGTAAGAACACCATCCAATCTCCTACGAAATAACAGGCAAGATGTGGTCTTCATGTGGAATAATACGAATGGCAGTATCTTATCAGTGGCATGGGGTTTGCTCGATAGCAATGGAGATATCAAACCAGAGTTTATATACATAAGCACTAGGACAAATGGTCCAGTGTTTCGACCTGATCTAGACACCACTGCCGTAAGGTATAAAGGAAGAGTGAGCTGGGTTGGTAATTTGAATGCAGGACATGCTTGGTTCAAGATAACAAACCTGACTGTCCAAGATACGAATACGTATGTTGCAGGAATACGAAAACAAGAGCAGAGTGGAACATCTAAATACAATACAAGTCTAACTGTTGCAGGTATGTTTCCTGATTGGTTTTACGCTAGAGAAGAAACAGAACAGAATTGAATAATAGAGTAAAGCACAATCATGACCATTCTCTGCGTTCTTAATTAGTGACAATTATTTTGAATTTTGATAGAATTATAGTCAGGAATTAATTAACTGGAATTGGAATAAGATCTACGTCGATACTATTTAACGAATGACACCACAGTTAGTCCAAGCTCTTTTTTAGTGCTGCTTGACTATGAATGGATGTGACTGACATCGTACAAATACGGTAAAAATAAAATTCAAAAATCATACAAACAAATATTTCTACTTGTGTTTTGTGTTTTTGTTTGGGTCTAAACGAAGTTTTACGTCCTTTGCATCAATATTGAGGGTTAACGATATTGAATGGTACGAAAAATGACAAGGTGGTACACTAGAACCCGGCCGAACCCTGGTTAAGGGCCGATAATTCGCTTCTACTGTAATTCGATTAAAATGGCACGTCACACCAAAATTCTGTTACAGGCTGGGATGTTACCCCAGGATAGGAAAGTATCCTAGTGGATATCCTAGTGACTTAATTTTGATTTAATTTTGACAAAAAATAATCTTCCTGCAGCTATTCCATCTTTTCCACATTTCCCAACTTCACCATACCTTGTCAAAGCTATTGAAGGCAGAAACCTGGTAATAGATTGCACAGCCATTGGACCTCCAACACCTACAGTACAATGGTTTACAAGTGATGGCAAAGAGATAACAAGTGCATCAGTAACAGGGACTGTTACATTGACCAAAACAAATGTGCAAAAAAGTCATAATGGAACCCAATACAAATGTGTGGCAAGTAACAACCCAAACAGTGACCCATTTTCTACAATGATACAGGTGGTAGTACTGTGTAAGTACTAAGGCTAATAATAGTTATCATAAAAAATATGTAGTGGTTTTACAAAACTCTTTAATTATTTATAACTTAGCTAATTGTTTTGGTCATCCACTTGTTATTTTCGTCATTATCTGTAGATCCTCCCAGTACTACCATTGCTCCTCCTAGTCTTACAGTTGTACAAGATAATGTGATCTCACTCAGCTGTACAGCAGATGGTTATCCACCACCATCCATATCATGGACGAAGGCTGATGGTGTCATCAAAGCTGGTCACACAGTAGCTGGGGGAACACTTGCAATACCTGATGCTATCAAAACAGATGCTGGCAAGTACATATGTACAGCAAAGAACACCTATGACAGAAGGGAACACATTGACAATGCAACTGCCACTGTGACAGTTGAATGTGAGTATCTTGAACGCCAATGATATACTTTTTAATAAATTATAAATTATGATGTAAACCATTTGAAATCAATTTTTGGAAAAACCTGGAATGCAAGGGTGTTCATCTGTTGTGTAGTCTCTCATTGCACGTATGGTCATGAGATGAAACCCTGGACCTGCCTTGTTTTCCTCCTTTCGAAAAATAACTTAAGCAAAATTGAAATAGAATCTTTTGAGTCTGATTCTGTTGTATCTTAATATAGAGCATGCAATCAAAAGCAAATCACAAGCCTTTAATGGTTTTATTTTTTACAATCAGCCAGCAAAGGCACTTATATGTGAAGTTCATAAGTTATGCTTATTTGTGTATCCAGACCAGCCCACAATCATATTGGACAGTCTATTAAACCAAACTGTGAATAACACTGACTCCCTGAGTATGAAATGTAATGCAGATGGAAACCCACCACCAACCATCAAATGGAAGACACCAACAGGGTCTGTCCACACAGGGAATGTCTACAACATCTCGTCAGTCAGCAGATCACAGGCAGGGACATACACGTGTACAGCTAGTAATGGGATAGGAAGAGAAGCAKTGGCCAGAATACAAGTTACTGTTCAGTGTAAGTAACATATAATACTTAACTTTGACTGACTGCTTTCCATTCATAAGATTAGGAAATTACTAACCTTTTGTCAATTATTGATTCTCTTCAGACAAACCAGCAATAGATTTATCAAAATCTTCTCTAACTTTCAAATCATGGAATAATAACAGTATTCATCTGAGATGTTTTGCAACTGGTTTACCTGCACCACGGATATCATGGTACAAACCAACAAATCAGCAGATCACTACAGGTGTGAACATTGTACCCGAGGGTAGTGAGGTAACAGTACTGACAACAGCTGACCAAGGGGACTATGGACAGTACAAGTGTCGAGCAACAAACATCCTGGGAAGTGATGAACACGCTATCGATGTTACTCAACTGTGTAAGTTTTATTTTATTTTGCTGCTCCATAAGATTTATTCTTATTACTTATATTTTATGTCACTCACAACAATTTAACCTATTGTTGTCATCTCTCGTGTTGCTCTTCATGCTATTATTATTAGGGTTATTCATCTTATTTCTTTTGATCTTTCTCTTCTGTTTCAATTTCCATTCACTATTTTGCATATTAGAAAAACAACATAATAATGACTTCTTTATTTGCTAGAAAGCATGCTGTTAAAAGCTATTTTCGATTCCTTCCTACATTTGTCAAGACTGTAAGGCTCAGCTTTGTGTATCATATTCATGTTTCTCAATAAACATTTTAGTATAATTTTAGACTTGAAAATAGAGTTAGAGAAAATAGATCGGAATTAAAACTAAAACTTTTTTTGAAATCCTGATTTCATCTTTTCTCTGATATTCAAGTCTAAAATTATACTAAAACAATGATTCCCCCTCTGGCTTATTGATTATGGTGACTGAGTTTACGGTTAAGATTGAGATTAGAAATAGAGCGAAGGCACTTGAACTGTGAAATAAAATCAAACTAGTTACTAACACACAGTCGCTATATTTAGAGACTTTAAAAAAGTTGTTATCACTGAACCAGACCAGTTTATGACGCAAAAAAAGAATACTCAAGAGACCATCAAATAAACAAGTACTCTAAGAAGTTTGCTTATAAAAAACGAGTGGCTTAATGCGTACGTGGCTATGGGTATTTGCTATTCGTACGCAAGCAACTCACTTTCAGGACACTTTCAGGAATAACAATCGTGAATACTGTTTGTCATGGGGACATGGTGGGAAGGCTAAAAATTCGATGCACATGCACAGATGGATAAAAAAAAACCTATTTGTTTTTGATGGTCTCTTGTGTATTCCTTTTTGTGCCATATGATTTGTTCTGGTTCAGTCGATGAACTAGTCTCTAAATAGCAACTGAAAGGGACTATTTTTTTAAAAGCTAGTTGATTCTATTTCACAGTTCAAGTGACTTTGCTCTATCATGGCGACACTTATTGACAGAAAGATCAAGAGAAGAAAATTGTCCCTCAGGAGGGACCCCGTTAGACTTATAATGAGGACACAGGCGCTCAAAGACATCACATTCACAGTTAGAGGGACAATTTTCTTCTCTTGATCTTTTTGTCAGTAACTGTCGCCGTGATATTTCTAATCTCAATCTTAGCCGTAAACTAGCTCAGTTACTCTAATCTTTCTAAGGACGAGTGGTTGGCTTTACGTCAATTACGCAATCGTTTTGACATTGTTATTAAGCCCGCTGATAAAGGCGGTGCATTTGTTGTCTGGGGCTCTGACCTGTACAAACAGGAGGCTTTACGTCAACTCTCTGAGTAAGGCTTGATCGTACCCCTGATAATCAAAAATTAGTTAAAGACACTGTTAACTCTTTCATTTCTGATGGCTCTTTACCTTCCACTGCTAAAAACCTCTTTGTTATTACTCCTTGTTCTTCTCACATCTATTTTCTTCCTAAGATTCACAAAGCTAACAATCCTGGTCTTCCTATTGTTTCTGCTTGTAGTTGTCCTGCCGAACTCATCTCTAGCTATCTAGATTCTCTCATGCTGCCTATTGTTCAGTCTTTACCTACTTATATTAAGGATGCTAATCACGCTCTTAGCATTTTCAATGATTTCCGCTTGTCTTATTCTATCATATATACGCTCCTTTCTACCACCTCTTTCTCTTTTACTCCGACGAAGGACTAGCGTCCGAAACAACAGTTTTTTCATCTTTTCACTGTGTATAATTTACCTTTTTATCATTGCTGTTTCATTAGAAACATCGACGTAGCTCACACTAGTTTTTAGCTAGTTATATCTTCTGATTATGGTGATGTTTATTACCTTTCCGCTCAAATTAAGACTCGAGGCTCTGTCAATGTCCCACCGCGATAATCACTTCACCTCCAGCGAATCATTGTTAAATAATAACAATTCACAGTGTTTTCATACTAAAACAATTATTGCCGTACTCCCTATATTTGCGATACGGGTACGTGCCACCAAACAGGGTGTGGTTTTCAGCTATACTACTCTGGAACAGGGTATATAAAATCAAGCTTCTCTGGGAACCTTGACAGGGTATATAAAATCACGCTCCTTCCTCTCTGGGACAGGGTATATGAAATCACGCTCTCTCCTCTCTGGAACAGGGTATCTATTTTCGCACTACCGGAACAGGGTATGGTTTTCACTGATCTTGCTCTGGAACAGGGTATGAATTTCAGCGTTTGCACTCTGAATCAGGATCAGGATTCAGTGGGCTCAGCGGCACATCACTAGCTTAAATGGACAAGAGTACTCTCCCCCAGGGCTTAGTGACTATGGTGATATATACCTCGCCGCTCAAAGACTTGGGGCTCAATCAATATTCCACCGATAATCACTTCTCTCTCAGCAAATAATTAATAGATAATTACTGAGGCACACAGTATTGGTAGGTATAATGCAGGCAGCTGATGGCGTAGCCCGACCTACGAATGCTGCGTGCTGAAGTGATTATCTAGTATAATTATTGTTCTTATCAAAATCCAATTGTTTTCTTTCTAGCTTGTTTATCATACACCGCTCCTGTTTTTCAAGCACACTAAATATGTCTGATTTTCCTCTATGCATTCATTGGGATAATGCAGACTGAAAACAATGGATTTTGATAAGATCAGTAATTATTCATTAAATAATAATTAATTCACAGTGTTTTGTTTTGAAAGTTTGGCTATCTTTACTGTTTCGATCCTGAAACACTAGGCTAACTTTGAATAAATGAATTTTTTAAATTTATAAGATCTTTTTTATAAGAACTTCTATGAGTTTCTTCCCATTTTAGTTCCACCCAACTGCTCTAGCTTTGCAATGACGGAAGGAGATATTGAAGCATCCTCCATAACTGTCAGATGGAACAAGCCTTCTTATGATGGTGGAAGTCCTGTTACTGGTTACAAAGTACAAATTAATACGACTGAGAAAAAGGACACTTCTGATTCAGATACTAATGTAAAGTTTTCTGGCCTTAAGAAAAATACCAAKTACCAAGTGGAGGTGTTTGCAAAAAATATTGCTGGTTATGGAAGACCATGCATCAAGATTGTAACAACCAAGAAACTAGGTACAATAAGATAGATTTAAATGATAGGGGTTTTACTCTCTTGCTTTGTTTATAATTTCATTGTAAAGGAATATAAGTTAAAATAAAAAAGGCAAACTGAAAACAAACAAACTATACTAAACAAAAACTCAAATAAACAACTGAAAATGAATGTCCACAAAGTAGGTTACTGTCTTATTATTATTATTATTATTATTATTATTATTATTTTTTTTTTATTATTATTATTTGCAAATAATATACCCGTGAAATAGATAGCTAGCTAACTATTTACTAACCTTTGGTTGCCTAAGTCTAATTAGTTAAAATAGGCGAGTCGTGATGGGTAAACTAGTGCATCATGTGCTACTCAAGCGGGCGCATTTTTAAATATTTTTAAACACACTTACAAAAACTGAAACAATATTTTGCTGTACATGCTTTTCCTTCGTATAATTTGACATGTT